GAGTGAATCAATAAGTTCCTTAACCCTTATCACTAAACTTCGAAGTCATTTGGCGTTCGGAGATCTGTAAAACACGCCCCCCTTCCCCATCCCCCCCGGTGGGAAAAGGGGATTCTGAGAAGAGACTGAAGTAGCTGTGAACTTCTACAAATTACCTCCACGCGGATAAATTTGTGAGGACCTGCTCTTGGCTCTTCTTCCATAGCATCTATAAAAAGTGAGAAATACGATGACAAAAATATAAGCACCTTACTAAAAAGCGAAAAATTCAACTGTGGTTGTAAGTGGGCAATATCGAATCGAATCGAATACCAAAACAAACCTTGAATTCCCGCCAAACATTTGTAAGAAAAGTCAAGAGGAGAGGTAATGTCGTTGTCTGCATCGATAGCGGCTGAGACCGTTGGTTTAGTTTTGCTTGTCATATCGTCCTTCCTTAAATACTACAACGTTAAAAGTATTAAAAAGCTTCCTGCGAAGTACGCGAAGAAGTCACTTTCGTGCAGCCATTTTATCTCGTGACGTTTTGAGTTGCAGTTGTCATGACAACAAATCAATGTTGCAAACGTGCAAACGTGATCAGCGGTAGCCTTTTAAAAAACAAATATGGCGGGCGATAACAGAGGTAATTCCAAATCTTTTTCTTTCCTTTTTTTTTAATTCCTTGTATTTTGATGACCTTTATGTTGTCCTTCTGTATTCTTTAAATTAGGCTATTTATTTTCAGGTCTCTTGGCCTGTGAAGAAGTGTGTATTTTGCGTTTCCAGCTACTTTATAGTAGTGTGTTTTACTGATCTGTAGACTTTATAAGACACTTGAGTTTTTGTGAAAGCTTGTTTTTTCATCATTGTTTTTCCTTTTGTCCTTTCCATTCCACAGGGAAAACAGTCGTGGAAGTATCCTTGATGTTGTAAAATTTTCGAGGGATAAGTTCCAATTAGTTAGTTTTAATTCTACACAAAATCAAAGAGTGTTTTTAAAAACATTGTGGCTCAGTCATCAGGCAATTTCCAACTTTCAAAAATCCTCACGTTTAGAATAAGGCCAAGTGGAAAATCTTCATGGGAAAATGACGTTTATCAAATGCACTAGAATAAGAAAATAACAATTTTATTTCCTGGAGACAACTTGAAAATGACCTGTTCCAAGTATGCTGATCCCCTTTCCCTTGTGCAATTGTTCAGTTGTGAGTTTAATTTCCATGGTGGAGGATTTGTCATCAAAGGCTTTCCTGGGGGTGGGGTATTTGCCATATTTGAAAGGGGGAATCGGTGATGGACATGCTTTAAATAGTTCAGGGTATGAAATAACTAGTGATAACTGTGCAAAACTATTAACACAGGCAGCTTTATTTTGTTATGAACAATGACAGAAGTAGCAAAAACACAAACTAACTGACATTTTGGCCTGTGGTAGTAAATCACCCTTAACTAACTTTCAGCTATCGTCATTACCACTGCAGATATTCCTCTTCCTAAACATATATTATGCCATTGTTTTCTGTGTTGCTGAACTTTTGCTCTACATTTACAAAGGTGAGAGCTCCTCTTGGGTTACGTATGTCCTTGGTCTGAATTTCAAAACCTATCCTTTTGTGTTACTGTTGAGCAGAAAGCCATGTTGCTGTCAGTGTTCTACAATTGTATTTGCATTTTTCTGCCATTTCTGCTGTCCTACGTTTCTGTTTCAAGGCCTTGTTGCTTGTATGAATTTTAACCTGGCCAACAGGGCCTCTAGCACACTGCATATAATCCACCATTTTTGCCTGTGTATGTCCATTTTCCCATTATTTTCAGCATTTGTTCTGTACAGTTTACTTTTCTCAACCTACATTCCTTTGGCTTTCACTGTAAATAAAGTCAACTATGCCTTTATTTATTCCTGACAAATTTTCCTATAAGTCAAATGTGTGAGGTTTTCGTATCATTACCTTACCTGGGTAATTTTTAAAACCTTTTCTAATGATTTACAACAACCTCTGAACATTAACTGCTGACGATCACCTTTAACAATTTTTCTTTTTTTATGATTTCTGAAGGTTGCTGAAAGTTGGGATGCAAACATCGAAGCTTTTAGCTTGTGATTTAAGGCATTATCCAAATAATTATTCCCACATTTAGTACCCACTTGCCTAATTATCTTAAATGAAAATTTAATTCAATTTTTCACATCAATGATTACTGAACTAGTAGTCCGGAAATGGGAATATGTGTGTCACTCATGAGAAATTATTTGTCCTAAATGTGTGTTAATCAATGTTTTGGACCTACGGGCATTTTACTTATAATTTTATGCATAATGCTTCTAAGTTGGCAGGTTTTCATATTAGAAGCTTTTACTCACTGGTTTAATTTTTATAATAGGTACACTCTTGCCATACCCTGACATGGGTGCAACCCTAGGCATTGAGATCTTCATTATATTCCTGCTGGCTTTCTTTGAAGGTGTTAGAATCTTTCTTGGTATGTATACTGCACATCTGGTTCCAGTTGTTTAAAAGGTGAATAACGTTATCCACTGTATAAGTCACTATCCAGTAGATAACTCAGTTGATTTCTTTAATACTTATGTCTGCTGGATGGTGATTTATCCGGTGGATACCATTAGCCAATGTTTGAACAACTGGGGCCTGAATATTAATAATGTGGAAGGGGACTAAACATGAAAGAAACGTTATTACCAGGTCCCCACTTTTCAAATGTTGGGTATTGCTATCCACCAGGTAAATCACTATCCAATGGATAAGTATTTAAAGAAACCAATATTATTGTGTTATCCACTTGATGGAGATTTTTTGACTGGATAGCATTATCTGCCTTTTTTGAACAATGGGACCAAGGTTCCCTATCTGATGCAAAATTTAATTATGGTAATTGCATTTCATAGTAAATAAAATTTTTCATATCTACCAAAATGCAGCATCATCACCATTTAGCTAAACTGCATCCGCAGAATTTAACCTAAACAGCTTCCAAGACAAACCTGTGATCATGTCAGCAAGCTTTCCTCATTTCCATGCAAGCATCAAATCAGTTCATTGACCAGACTGAATGTTAGTACCCTTTATTTTAACAAGTCATTAGGGTGAATTGGCTCAAGACTTCAGTTATTAGAATAATGGTATTGCATCCGGACCTTTTTCATTCATTTTATCTTAGGGTATAAGGGAAACCTAGCAGAGCGAACTTTATCACTAGCTCTGTCATTGGTGCTTGGTATTCCTGTGCTATTCATTCACTTGTTCATCCTACTGTGGCAGACATATGTGTAAGTAGTACTTAGCAGGTTTTCAGGGGCAGATCTGTTGAGGGGGTGGGGGGGGGGACACTTCCATTGTATTGTTTGACTTATTTTTTGGCCAAGATAACACCTGCAGGGGTTGATCATGAAAAAATATATAATTTCTATCAGTGGACCCCCTTTTTTTTCTTGGTCCACATGAGTGTGCACCCCCCACCACCACCACCACCACCACTCACAGTAGGTCAGGATCTGTCACTGTTTTTTGTTTTTGTTTAGTTTTCTACTTTGTTTGTTTGTTTATTTTTCAATGCCTTATAAGCTCAGTTTGAGCTCAACTCACGGATTCCTTTTGGTTCTTATTCATGGAATGTACATAGAAAAACTAAAGTGTTTTGGAGCTGTGTAACTTTGGTAGAATAAGTCAGATCAGTGAATTATGCAAGGCTTCTCAGAGTTTCTGACCAATCACAGCTTTTGTTGAAGTGTTAAATTCAATAAAAATCAAAACTGAGGACCATTATAATTGAAAAAGTATGGGTTTCCATCAAATTTAATGCATCAAAACAACGGCTATCATTTCATTTTATTCCAGTTGCCTATATCACCTTATTTGTTTGCTTTCTTCTGTGATTTAGATTGAGAATAGAAGCAGTTCTTGTAAGTATAGCCTTAGTGCTCCTTGGACTGGAAATGATCTTCAGCATTGCGGCTGTTTTTACTTTTAAGAGGTAAAATATCAAACTAGCTTCTTGAGTTGTCGTTGTTATTGTTGTTTGTTCCCTTCAAAGATCCTGCAATCTCATCACTCGTGAGACTCGCCATATTTTCTGCTGGTTGTCACCCCCTAGTGCTGGTGTTGCGAAGATATAGGATGCTGTTACATTTCTTCTTCCCTCTTTTTTCTTTCAGACATCAAACTATGCTGCGGTGATCATTAATGGTTAACTTCACAAACCGGCCATCCAGGATGTTCTTAATAAGTCCTCGAGCTTTTAAGCCGTCAAACACAATAAGAAATTTCATAAAATGCCTGCTTATGAATTTGGCTTTAATTATTGAAACATTTGTTGAGCCAAAATAGCGCTTGAAACGTAAGATTCAAAATCTCTCGAAACATCCCTATAGCAACAGAGAAGGATGGTGGCGGCTGTGTATTTTATGGGCTATTATGGTCAAGACAAATAAGATAATGAAGTTTTAAAAGTAGAATTTTTACGATAATAATTCACTAACAAAGTCAAAGATAGGATTCAAAATCAGTATTAGTTATATTTAAATCCCCTTTTGAGGGAATATAACTACCTTTTCAAAGTTTGAGGTTCAATTTTTTTGCATGCCAGCCAGGTCGTTACTCTTAAATCGAGCGAAGTTAAAAAAAAAATTACTTAGTTTTCAACACAGATGTAATGGGATACACTTTAGTAATGAAACATCAGGGGCACCCAACCACTGTTTTCTGTAAATATCTGTTCGGAGAAGGAAAAATTGCCGAAAATTTTCTATGGCTTGAGGAAGGCTAAAAATTTCTAGATGGGCATTCCATTCATGTAAAATTTTCAAAGCTTCCCTTATATTAAATTCCGACGATTTTCGAAAGTTTAATTTTTTCTCATTTCACTTCCCGGGTTAAGCTATTTTTTTGTAAGAAAAGAAAATCTAAATTTTTCGGATTCGGAAATGCGATGGAGAGAGGAATCAGAAAAATCCTCACTTTCGTAAAACTTTAAATAGTATCTAAAATTTTCGGGAATTAAAATAACACTGAAGCACTTGTAGTTTCGAAAAGACTCAAGTTACCATAGGAAGACCGAACAGATACAAATTTTCTAGCGCAACTTAAAATGCATTTCTGGAGATCGAAGAGTACTCTGCTGGATAGCATAAAAAGTGTTTTCAATGCATTTAGGAGAAAACCGTCCTTGGGTGCCCCTGACATGATGTTTCCATGTATTACTTCCAAGTCAAATGAAATTCTTTAAATACGCTCAAAAAGACGATTCTCTTTTATTCTCATCCTGGAATAAGCTCGATCGAATGCTTTCTGGAATAAATAAGCAAAAAGGAAGAATTCCCGTCATAGAGAGTCACAGTATAAAAGTCTGAAGAAGCGCGCGCGTTCCAATTGGCATAATCTTCATTACTATTGTGACGCAAATGTGTGATTTTAGTGAACAGTTTTCCTGAATTTCCGCTGTTGTTGCCACTGGTTATAAGTTAAAGAACTTTGAGTCTCGAAACTTAACAAAAGTTGGCCAGAGACGAAGTTAGCCCCACAAAACTTGTTGGCAAAATGTCAAGTTTTCTACCGTCAATCAATAACGTTAGAAAGAGCTCTCTTGTTGCTGCGCAAAGAATCTACTCAACGAAGAATTACTTAGAATCAACAGCAACCAATGGACGTTTAGGGAAAAAGAGACGCGGGGAGAAGAAGAGCAAGAAACTGACATCTTCCTCGACAGAAAATCTTCACAAAAAAGCGGAAAGAACAAAAGAATACTCTCGAGAACTGAAAACAAGACAAGAAAAGGCCAAAGTGGCGCGAGAAGAAAGCTTAGTTCGGCTAAAAAATCAGCAAGAACTACGAGAGAAGGGGTTGCGTGAAAAGAAGAGATTAAATGAACTGTTTTCGGTTTACGCAGCTCAACATGGTCCTTCTTACAGAGACGGTGCAAAAGTTGTCAAACCAAAATTCCCGGTTTTGTTAAAAAGTACCAAGAGTAGTGCTATTTCTCGTGAGAAGATCCCATATAGCCCTCTACCAGATTTATCATCTGTGAATAGGTTAGAATCTCAAGAATGATTCCCTTTGTTAGGAAAGTTAACGTGTGAGCTTTGCGTAGAGAAGTAAAGTCAAGTGATTTTGACTGAAGAGGGGTGAATTGTTAGTGACAAACGCGTCATTACTTAATTCTTCCGCTGTAAATTTAATATTCATTGTTATCTTGTAGCTTATTTGTATCAAACGTTCGTTATGGTTGTTAAGTAGAGAGGCGAAGATGTATTCTCAGAAATAAAAGGTATCTTGTGGAAGAGAGTTCGCCTTAAAGACATGATAAAGATAAATTATGTCGTGTCATAAGACCTTAAAAACTTTGTGTGATCAAGTGTTTTAAAGGCAAAGTCACGACAGTTTTCGAAGTTGTGGTGACTTACCAACAAAGTCGCAGGAGCTGCCCAAGCCGAAATATGGGGGGGGGGTGAGAAATTCGAATACATAGCGCAGTAGGAAAGCCCAGGGCGGTATACGCCCCTGTGTATCTGAAAAATTGAAAGAAGGATAAAAGGGGTAAAACAAAACGGATAAAATGGAATAAAATAGCAAAAAATAAAACGACTAAGCCCTGCATGTTTCTTGAGTTTTTAAAAAGATCCACCCTTAGTCCCCAGGTACGCTCTTTTTCGGAAGGTCCACCTTTAGTCCCCAGTTGCGCTCCCCCTTGAAGGGTCCACCCTTGGTCCCCAGGTGTATCCCCCTTGAAGAGCCCACCCTAGTTCCCACGTGCACTCCCCCTGGAAGGGTCCACCCTTAGTCCTCAGGTGTATTCCCCTTGGAGGGTCCACCGTTAGTCCCGAGGTACGTTCCTCCTCGGCAGGTCCACCCTTAGTCCTTAGGTGTGTCCCCCTTGGAGGGTCCACCCTTAGTCCCCAGGTGCGCTCCCCCTTAATTGTTTTAGATCTTTAAGTTATTGGGGGCTTTCATAAGAGGGGGGCTAGCCTAGAACATAATAATAATATTTCTCTTGGCACTACAGCCTTCTTTAGAAAAACCTTTTGGGCCAGTTAATGGAGATCAGTCAGTGTTCAACAAAGTTGTATTCTATGCCATTTTCAATTTGCCAAACGTTTTTTATAAACAACATTTATCGTGAACAGTTTTATAAAAGCATATAGTGTAGAGAAGAAAAGCATTTATCTCGTTAAAATAACCCACTACAAAAGAGATGTGGAGGTCCAAAGATTTCCTAAACTGCGGTCTAAGTTGGACTTCGTTTTAACAACCAACCCTTTGAGTTTTACTGCCACCTATTTACAGTGGAACTAAAATCTTTACAATAACTGCAGGAGAAGTAGAATCTCAAACAAATTTTCATTTAGAACCCCATGAGTACCAGATTTTTTGTAAACACAAGAAAGAATAACGGGACAGACAGGGAAATAGTCAGTCTAGATGTAGCCCTTGAGATACGTGAAATTCACATACAAATGCTTGAATTAATTGGAAGATGAATCTGAAGAGGTCCCCAGAATTTATTCAGTGTTATCAAGAGAAAATTCAATAGCCACCATTACAACATTCTGCTTTGTTTGCTTTGAGGCAGTTGTGCATGTACTTGATGACGTTTCAAATAATCAATACCGGTATATTAAAATGTGCAGACATCTCAGGAATTAGACTTCTATATTTAATTACAACATAAGCAAAATTCACATATCCTATGTACATGATACCACCATAAAATGTCATGCCGGCACAAGTCACCCTGGTGTGAGTTCACCCCGGTTGTTGCACTGGGGCGAGAATTTCACTCCGGTAGGAAATGTCGCAACAGTATCATGTAAACGTGAAACGACTAGATATTTCGGTGGGAAATCAGTCTGCTGGTGGACTGGAAGCGGTAGCGCATGCGTAATGGTTGCGATTTTGAATCACACGTATATTTTATTGACATGAAATATACCTTCAAATAACGAGATATGAAATGACCCAGTCATCATGTAAACCGGATACAAAATCAAAAAGTCATCCGGGAATGAAACTCGCGCCAGTGCGAATTTCCTCATGTAAACACCCCCCTAAGATTTCCTATCTGTCCCATTAATCTCTCTTGGTAAACAATGATTTTCGTCACCAAGCACAGACATCTCTCCTGCAAAACCTTCCTTGAGATGAGGAGAAAGGAGAGACGGGTTGGGCAGGATTTTTCCAGTAAGGATTCCATCTTCTTCGGCTGTGGGAGCAAGCCCCCCACCTCCCATCAGCTCTTGAAGATTTGATTGTTTGCAAACCCTGTCAAAACACATAAAGCCCGACTCTCTTTTTTCTCCCACACGGCCAGGCTGTTTTATTCACTATGTACAATTTATCTTTGTGTACAAGAAGGGATCACAAGCAGTGAATGGCCTTGTTTGGTTGTGGATAATATTATTTTAAAAACAATCCACAAGCTGCATTAACTAGACAGTTTGATTTTTACCAGGGCTTGCAACATGTTACATCATTTTAGGTGCTGGCCTATAAGAGAGCATACTTTTTAAAAGAGACTTAATAGTTCACTTTAAAAGTAGCTTTTATGTTAACACCAATTTAAAAATGACAAAATATCTTCAGGGATTTCATGCTGTTTCATGTTCTCAACAGAAAAGTACTTTCGCACTGCAACACGGCAGAGGACCTTTAACCTTGTTGGTGAGTTTTTCATTTTATAGACCAAAAGATTAGAGACATCTTGGCTTATATCTTGTGCATTTACATGGCAACAGTGTGTCACCAGTAACAGGTGACCACTAGATGAAATGGTACAGCTTGTGTAATTTTCCGTCCCAGTTTTGTGACAGATTTGTAAAACGTTCTCTGCTTCAAATGGTGCTTCACATTTAGAAAAATTAAGCGTATGTCTCGAAAAAACTGAAAATTGCCTTTGATCTTTGCCAAAACCACTCTGAGGGATCATGAAGTAATTGTCATGAGGAGATAACAAGAGCTCATATGCAGCCAAAGATGACTTGCTGGAAGGGCCAATGTTAATTTTATGTAGAAGGTGACCCAAAGTGTCCCATATTAACACTGCCTTGAAGTCTTCAAAATCAATACCCAATTGATGGCCATCAGTGTTATGCATTTGAATTTGCTGACCACTGCAGAGAGCCAGGAAGAACTCTCCTCCAGTGGAATATTTTGCGTCGGCAACAAAGTGAAAGCCTTTCAGCTGCACCTTGGCTGTAACAGTGAAAGAACTCATGTCAACAAACACTAAACCAATATAAAACACATAAGACCCTCGTCCAATCACAGCCATGTTCTTCAGATCTGGATTGAAATCCAACAATCTCCAGCAAAAGGGAACATTATTTAGCTCTACGGCACTGCTGCTAATGTGATTGGTACAGTCAACTTGCCATTCAAAAGGTCCACAATTGGAGTTTATATGGCTGCTAGCTTCTTTAACTGTCATTTCATACAATATGAAATCACCATCATTAAAAATAACACCCAACCAATAGCGTCCAGCACAAAGAGCTGATACCTTCAAGAAGCGAACACTTGTACCGCACTGAAAATTCCCTCTGTTCTGAGGATTACACCCATCTAATGTCACCTCCATCGTTTTCTGCAGCACTTTTGAGTTTTGGAACTTGTGATCGCAGGGACAAGAAAATACATAGAGACCACTTCGAAAGTCTTCTAAACGAGCGAAGACGTTCAAAAGTGGATAACCTCTGGTTTGTGTTAAATCGCAAACAATTTCGAGAACAGGACAAGGGAACACCAAGATGTAACCAAGTTCTGTTTCTGTTTCTCCAGTATCCATGTTCAAAAGTTTCAAGTTGATTTGAGCCTTTTTTGAGGCCCCCCGATTAAAGTCATTTTCCATAAAGACTGAAGTGTGGGCTATGGCCACAACATTGACATTTTCACGTGTTAACCAAGCGACTTTGTCGTTAGTTTTGAAGTAAAATGGAACTTGTGCTTTCGCAACCAACTCGAGACCGGCCGGGCCCGCCATGTTACGTTGTAAACACAGAAACCCGATACTCTACGCCAGGTCTACGCTGACCGTTCTCTTTCACTAGCCTGAGTCAGATGTGAACAGAGCGAAGGTCAGATGCAAATGAACCTTTTTTTATTTTTGCCCCCCCATGATGACATTCGGACCGTGTCCAGGGAGCGATGAGAAAAGGATTGAGGGCTGATATGGCGAATGGAAGGTGTCGTTTATATGGCATTTTGTTATTGTGTTTTACTACTCAAGCATCAAAAGGATCCCGTGCAAAAGACCTCAATGTACTCTTTATAGTTTCCGACGATCTTAGACCGTCTCTTGGTAGTTATGGGAATGAGATCGTACGAACACCTAATCTGGATAAGTTGTCAGAGCGTTCGGTTCGATTCACAACAGCAGCATCTCAGGTAGCGGCTTGCGCTCCGAGTAGAACTTCTTTCCTGACTGGCAGAAGACCTGACACTACTAAGCTCTTCTCCAACAAAAATCCTACTTACTGGAGGGATAGTGTTGGAAATTTCACCTCGCTTCCGCAACACTTCAAGAACGCTGGTTACCTAACTGCTTCTGTAGGCAAGATTTTTAACCCAGGTATAGATCACAAATTAAGATGTCTCGGAGGTGACGTAGATGGAGCTAGGGCTCCAGATTTTATCCGTGTTTACTGAATAACTTGAATGGAATATCAGCAAAGAATATATCTTTGCCTGTGTACTGACGCCTCCTCCCCTCAAGAATAATCTCTCTTTCTATCCCCGATTTTTTAGGGGAAGGGGCGTCTTTTAAATAGGCTAAATATAAATACGTATGTGACCAGGGTCAAATGCAGTTTCTCATATTTTGTATAATGAAAACCTACATTGTAGTTAAATCTAGTTAAGTTAGTGTGTCATGTCGGTAGTAATAGAAATCAGGGTTACATAAGCTGCGGGGCTTTTGCTCAGGCTTAGAACGTCGACAAGATGTTTCGCAGGCACCGGACTACCGCTGAATGAATTAGAGTTTTTGTGACAAAGGTTAGGAAAGTGAGAGAATCAAGTTCACTTTGCCCTGTACAAAGGCGTACGGGCAATTTTTTGTCAGGGGGGGGGGCGGTAAACCATTTGCCCAAAAAAAATTGTCGCAAGTTGCCCAAATTTTTACGAAACAGTAGAAAAGAAACGAGGGCCATACGATGCAATAATGTAGGCCATACTGGCACTGAAGGTGGCTCGATGCTATGACAGTTTTTCAGGGTCAATACCTCCCAATTTTGAGAATAACTACGTTGCCATAGGCAAACGTTTGGAAAAATTGCTACCATAGTTTTATTAGATAAAGATGAGAATTTATCATGAGCAGGGTTTTAATGACATCGGAATTGTCATAGCAACGAAATAACGCCATTGTCTAATTTACTTGCAGCAATATTTCTCGGCACTGGGAACTGTTCCTACAAAATTGTTCACAGGAGCTTTTTTCTCCAATAGTCGCCTCCTCGATGTTCGTGAAGTTAAAAAGGAATCTATAGGAGTGTTATTGGGATATTTTGGGATGAAGTTTTTCGTTATAAATATGATTAAAAAAAAAATCTTGATGTTTGGCCGTTATTTGTAGAAAACGAAGCTCTTTTGACATGCCATTTCACCTCATGGTAGCTTCAATCTTTTTAAAAACGTGTGTAAAAGATATGATCATCGAGATAGCTCCGGCCGATTGCTAGAGACAAGGATTTCATTAGTATGTATCGAGGGGCTCTTGTTAGCGGTTTTGTAAACATTTCGGTCTACTTTAATAAATTATTGCTTGATAGATTTTTAAACAAATTTAATATTCTTCTCGTAGTTCGAGCTGAGTACTAGTCAGCCGCTTCTTCATTTTCACACCCACTGTTGCTGATGCTATCTGTCATACACTGTTCTACGAGCGGAGATGATTCTAGAAAGACTGATGCAGAAGTTTATTCTAATCAATTCACGACTGGAAAGAACCCATTCCAGTCAGTGCAGTGCAGTACAGTGCTCAACAAAAAAAAAAACTATCAATATGTAAATCAACAAATGATACCCTTCCCTATTACCAGAAACTCATCACGTGCTAGGAAACCACTGTGAGTGTCTCTCAGGATTTTTTCGGATTAAAATAGAAAATATTTGTCTCTTTAGACTAATAAAAAACATGGAAACGTCTTTGAAAACTGGCTTTGCCCAAATTTTCTCTTGCTGCCCAAAAAATCTGAGTTGCGCAAAATTTGGGGGGGCTGCAGCCCCCCTCGCCCCCCCAGCCCGTACGCGTATGGCCCTGTACAATGACTTGATTCACTCAACTTCTTAACTTGAATCTGTAAACTTCAGAGTGATCCGGCGCTCGGCGCCCGTTAGGCGTACTTCAAAAATACCCCAGCTACCGTTAGAAAGTTGGCGGTAGCCACATTATTTGAGATATATTTCCACCAGGATTTCCACTATCATTCGTGATCTAGCCCCGATTCAGACGTCCTTAACCCTTAGGTCTTCGTCACGCGTTCCTAAGAAAAGAGTGAGGAATCGAAGCGACTTTGCATTTTTATACCCACATAAAAGAAACCCTGCGTCGTGAAGGGTAGGGGAAGTAGACCTCGGTAGTGTGGTAAAACAAACAAACAAAAACCAACAAAGACAACAACAACAACAAAACACGTGTTCGTCGTTGGTGCCTGTACGTCTAACCTAGACTCTGTTCACACAATACCGTACAGCTTTTGCGAGACGCTGAGGGTTTGAAACCCTGACCCCGTTTAGGACAAAGAACAAAATGCACGCCGTCTCGTTTTAAGCCATTTACAGGCAGAATTCACGTTATAGTCATTGCTCTTGTTTGCTTGGATTGCAAACAAATTCCATCCGGACAGAGAGGTAAAAAATCATACCCTTTCCAGCGGCACATCCCCGTATAGGCCATATAAGGGAGTACCCAATGGGAACGGAGCGAAGCTGCGCCGCGCCGATTACTGAAATGAAGAGTCACATATCGGATAGATGTACTGTTCACACTAAACCGGTACAAAAAGCTAACTGCTACAATGTGAATGTAGCCTTGGTATTGCTGTAGAATGTCCACACTAGCTTTCAAGCTCAGCCGCCATGCATGAGGTTGTAATGACCTGCTTTCTCAAATAACTGATAAGGATCACAGGTGGCCCAAGTTCGAAATATAATCATCGGCATTGTGGCATAACGATTAAAAATCGAAGGATTTGTATGGGAAAAAAAAACAATTGTTTCTGTAGCCTAGCTGTAGCCTAACCTAGCTTAAGTTGTGTGTTTCTTCTTTCCTGTGTGGTTTACAAGCCGATTTATGCCGGGCCATTCAATGAGTTTTACTGGAAAAGGTTTGCACCTGTGTGAATATTCATAGTCCGATAGGGATCCGCCACGCGTAAACAGTCAAACGATTCCCCGCAATGGAAGTTGGGGTAAACAGGGACGAATGTATTTATTGCATGACAGCTATATGCGTTAACCAATTTCTACCGATTTCTGATTTTTCAGGAAAATCATCTAACTTCACTTATGATTACCCTTACAGTTGGTCTTTGCGACCTTATATTCCATCGGCGGAAAAGTTTAAGAACGCGAAGGTGAGTTTGGTTTAGTCAATTCTTACCGAAAAAGCAATGCTTCTTAACAGCTCTCTGATTTAAAGGAGACTGTGTGAGGAAAAACAGCATACAAAACTACGTAGACTTGCCACAAGTCTATGCGCCGAAGACGTGAGGGATGCTCGCGAAGCGGGCGACGTAAGTCGCAACCGGAAAAGGGCTTTGAGAAAGTCTAAAGACTACGCTGAATAATGGTTACTTATTGAACTAAGAATTGCATTTCGTAGGTTTGTAGTTGGGTTAAGTGTGATATTTTGCATCATTCTTGTTGAACTTCTAGTCAAGGGCCGTGTCGAAGTTTAGATATATCAAGTTTGCTTCCAATTTTCATCTGTTCATTTCCTATTTTAAGAAATCCTCGTCAACTTGGGAACTTGACGTGACATTTGCCATAACGGTCCCGTTTCATTCGACCCGTTCCCAGACACTTTGTACTGACGCTGGATACCAGAGGTTTTTCCTGGCGTGCGGTGAAATTTGTCGGTGTCGGTCGAAGGGCGACACGACACGGCGTTTTTGGGAGCGCAGCGGTTCACTATGAAAATGGAGTTTAGGGCCTGCCCAGTACCCAGACGTCTCTCTCTCTCGATGAAAATTGGTTTTACCCTTCCCATGGTCCGTTGCACGTGGTCACCAGTTACTCGCACTCGCGTTTCGCGCTCGTCTCTTTGCGAAACCATGCGAAAAACGAAGCCCGTGAGGAGGAGGCTGGGTTAGGGCTGTGTTCACATCAGGGTCCCTTGTCTTAAAAAGGGAAGCGAAATGGACAATTTTGTCTTAAACAGCGTCAGGGTTTGATGGCCTCGTCGTCAAATCTCTACCCAAACTTCCCTTTCGTGTCCCCTAGGGGGAAGGGGTAAAACTCCGCAGCACTGCGCACTGTCCTGCGCACTCGTTTGTATGACATTTATCGCAAACGTATGACATGCCTCACTGATGTTTTTCACTAAAGGTATGTCCAGGAGTAGATGGAAAATTGCACACAAACATTGTATGTCCAGTTGATGTGTCACAACAACCAGAAGGAACATTGCCAGACATTCAAAGCACTAAATTTGCAATAAACTTCTTGAAGAATTACTCACTGTCTCAAGATACGGCCGTCAATCAACAACCGTTCTTCCTCGCTGTCGGTTACCACAAACCTCACATTCCCCTGAAATACCCCAAACAATTTCTGGACCTGTACCCGCTGGAAAAGATACATATCGCATCTGATCCGTTACTTCCTGAGGCTATGCCATCAGTAGCTTACCAGCCATGGACTGATATCCGCTGGAGAGATGACATCGCAGATCTGAATCTGAGTTTTCCTTATGGACACATGCCTGATTTATACGCCAGGAAGATCATTCAAAGTTACTTTGCAGCCACAAGTTATCTGGACAGTTTGATAGGAGAGCTTCTGGATACTTTAGATGAGTATGGTTTTGCTAATAACACTATTGTGAGCTTTATCGGAGATCACGGTAAGTTTGAATTTCATAAAGTTCTGTGTAAACGTAGAATCACCTTGAAATCTGTTGAGTGTCTCAGCCACACTTGGCCAATTGGGGCGTTTCTAATAATTGGTTTTTACTAAACTGGTGAAATGGGTACCCTTTGTCAATTGTAACAATTCCCCATTGCATACAATAGACCTTGTTAGCTTGTATGTTTTGTTTTCTCACTTGAGTCCTAGCGGACTTGAATAACGTCCCATGGCACATCATTGAAAACGAGGAAGACATCGACGACGCCGTGTTTATTTGGAATCACTTGTTTTCTGAAATAGCTGACCTGCATGCGCCCGTGAAAAGGCGAAGAATACGAGGTGTTCCGCTCCCGTGGTTGAATGATACAATCAGTGAGGTGATGAAGGATCGTGATTTTCACCATCGTAAAGCCGTGAAAACCAATTCTGCTTTTCACTGGGCTCGCTATAGAAAGTTAAGAAATAGGGTCAATCGTGAAGTCAAGGCAGCAAAATCCAAGTATTATTGTGACTTGATTTTAGAGGCTAAAGGGGATTCAGGAAAGATCTGGAAGGCGGTGAATGAGGTGTCTTCGCGCAAGACTAAATCCTCGAGCCCACAATGTATCGTAGTTGATGGTGTTGAACACACCACCCCAGCNTTGAGACCACGTTATATGGTACCCCAGACAACTGTTTCTTTCAAATGTCGTCATATGCATGCTTATGTCCACCTGCTTATGTATGCATAATTTATGAAAAGACAAATTCCCTGGGCCGAGTTGTTTGAAGGCCGGTTAGCGCTAACCCAGGGTTAAATTTTAACCCGGGTTTCTTTTTCTTTTCATCAAAAGCGTTTTCTCAGAAAATTTTCTGTATTCTATTTAGAGTATTTAATCATCAAATTGTAGAAAAAAGAATTAAACTGAATTTGCATTTTAAGCTTTCATATCTGAATTCAAATTTTGTACTAACCCTGGGTTATGTTAACCCGGCTTTGAACAACCCGGCCCTGGAGAATATCACTTGTTCTGAATTGGGAAAACAAAACACACGAGCTGTAAGGGTCTATTGCCACATTACTATGTTCCAAGCCCTTTAGCCTGGATACCAGTACACCTTGTTTTTACTACCTAACTTAAGTTTTCTACACTGCGCTCAAATGAAACTGTCAGCCAGGCCATAATCCTTGTTTATGGAGGCTGTTTGGAAGAAACAACTCTAGAAGACAGTATTAAGTAATATATCCCTGAATTCAATTTCCAAGGTTGGGCCTTAGGTGAGCACTTGGAGTGGGCGAAGTACAGCAATTTCCGAGTGGCTACTAATGTACCCCTGATGGTACATATGCCTGGTTTAACTGACAGAAGAGATACAGATTTAAATGGAATACAGTCTGCGGGCAAGGCGTCCAATGCACTTGTGGAATTGGTGGATTTGTTTCCAACTCTTGCAGATCTGGCAGGGATTGAGATACCATGTAAGTGTTTCTTCCAGTCCTCGATAAAACTGCTAGTATTTCGTGTACACCCTAGCCTGTAGATAGACATTGTTCGTTTTAACAATTCCGCAGTGTGCGAGCAAAACGAGCACGCGAGAGCAAGTGCGCGAACGTGGCCAATAAATCCCCCTTGGAGTTTATTTCCATACCCGCGTTCGACGATCCTTAAAGAGAAAATAGAGGGTGTGGGAACGGGCTATGCACACACAACATTACATCAAAGCTTGGCCTTGGTTGTTCAAATGATGGATTGCACTATCCACCAGAAATTCAGCGGATACGTATTAAGAAACCCATTGCATCATGCATTAGATAAAGACTGTCTCTAGTAAACAGTGCCTTCAATTAGTATACATCGACTCTTACACAAAGTAAGTTTGCAAGTAGCGAAAGCACAGCGCTAGGGCAAGAGTTTTGTGTCAATTAAAGATGAAAGCAGATGCAAGTACCCTTCTCAAACTCAAAGGCACAGCGGCTCCTGATCATATTGCTTCATTTGAAAAAATAATATTCTAATGATACATTCCACAGCTTTTTGTCCAGAGAAATCATCCAACATGACCCTGTGTTCAGAGGGACTTAGTTTTGCCCCGCTCTTAATGAACCCCACCATGCCATGGAAGAAAGCTATCTTCAGTCAATACCCAAGGTACTAGTAAATTATATTAAAAAAAGCGTATTGACATACATTTTTTGTTCATTTACTTCTCTAACCGAGGGTTTTAATTAAGGTTTAAACCACGTATCATAAACGACAGGAGAGTTAAAAATGGTTTATACTATGGAGAGAGAATGAAACTTCAGGGGCGTTGCTAAAACTCAGCCTGTGACCAGGCTCCCAGTTAGGAAAAAGGCGAAAAAAAAACTTGGCATTTTTTTTCCTTTTGCCGTGTCACCTTGTTTTTTGCCTTTCCCTCTACTACAGAGCCTGGTCCTAGACTAACCAAAACTTATTACCGCTAACACTACCATTTTGTTTCAGTACAAATTAAAATCAATTCCTAATAGAAAAAAAAAATAAACAGCCTCTTTTCTTTCTCTGTATCTTATGCTGCAAGTAATATGGAAACCAAGAAATTTCACAACAATTCATTATTATACTTATTTTCCAGAGTTGTGCTAGAAAACTTCCTGAGTTTTCCAAAAAAGGTAGAAAAATGATTTTCAAGGAATTGCCTCTTTATTATTTATTTATTATTTAAAGACCATCAGATAAACCGCAAGAAAACAGTTGCCAACCTATACCATCTGAGATCACGGTCATGGGGTACTCAATGCAGACAGATCAGTACAGATACACAGAGTGGATACAGTATGATCATAACACACAGAAAGGCAACTGGTCACATGTTCATGCCAGAGAACTGTACCTTGATCACAAAGAAGACAGGAATGTAGCAAACTTGCCTGAGTATTCAGAGCTTGTTAAAGAGTTATCAAGTCAGCTTAAAAGAGGGTGGAGAGATGCCTTACCAACGGTCAAAAACTAAAGGTCAAAATCTCAGTATTCAAGGACACCTGCAGTTAGTTGCTGCTATTCTTCAGTCATTTTATTAAAGCAGACAACTCTCTCAAGTGCTAGTCTAAAATAACAGTGTCCATTTTGGAAAACATTGATTTTATAACAAAAGGAACTGACCAACATTTTGAATGTCAGCTATTGCAATGTTTGTCCAAGAACTCATTTAACTACACTCTATAGAATGTGATCCTGTGTTGCTCTTTTTACTGTGCTTTTCACAAACATGCGAATTCTGAAGTTCAAAAGCCAACTGACGATTGCGTTTTTCGCTGCCTTCAATCATCTTAACGGACCTTTCAGGAAACAGAACTTTACTTTAACGGGTTCAAAAGGTCAAGGTTTGTGATTTGTGATTGGTGGATTTCAATCCGTTTTGTGTGTTTTTGTGTTTCAAGGTTCGTTGCTTGCGATCGTAATTATAATTGACGGCAGCGAAAAACGCAATTGCGAAGGCGGCTTTAGAACTTCAGAGTTCGCATGTTTGTGAAAAGCGCAGTAATATGGAAATTTTAGTTGACAGGTTCAAGTCAAAAGTAATTTTTTTAATGTTCTATAAAGATGACAGCCATGTAGAATCGCACACAGATTATACCACAACATGTAAGCTGTCCTGACAAACTAAGTTCTTAACATAACAAAAGCATTACAGAATCGACCCTCCCTGGTTTGAAATATGACCTTAAAGTTTTTCTTATATCATTATAAATACCAATCTTCTTAGCAAAGGACCAACATTTCACTGCATTTCAAGTTACTATTATTTCACAGCAAAATTTCTTTTCTGAAAACTATTTTCAAAAATGCTACTAAGAAGACACATTTAAGGTAAAAAAGAAACTAAGAAACTTTCACACAATCAACTGAAATAATTTTTCTTTTATTCTAAATTATTTTCAATTATTTTTTCATAATCTAAACAACTTCTCAATTCAATCTGCATTTTATTTTATTCTTTAGTTAAGCAAAATTTACGCATATATTATTTTTCAGGATGTAGCAGGATGCATGTTCATTAAAATTTTTATCTCTACATAGAAGAAGCGATATGGTGTAATACACTATACTACATCAGTATGTATGCAGCCTGACGGTGCCATAACTACTAAGTACAAGAGAAGAGATAAGCACGAATAGACTTTGATTACAAAAAGGATTGAATGTACGTCAATATATACAGCATGTTAATGCCACAAGCAAATGCATGTATTGTACATAACTTTACAAATTGTTCAGCAAGGTTAGTGCAAGCACTCTGCTGACTCAACCGGACTATATTCAACAGAGCTCAACTATGCACATAAAACATATAAAGGACATAAAAATATGAGAGGAGAAAAGTTTAAGTCAGATTGAAAGGGTTTTGGCTAAAACAAGATTTGTTGTAGAACTGCCCTTGTTGATGACAGGACTTTATGCTAAGGAGGTCACCTTGCCTTAGCTTAGAACATTATTATTATTACAATTATTAGGGCATAATACTTATTTTGCTAGATTGAAAAAATGAAATGACTTTCAAAAACAGGATAACCGAAGAAGATAGTTAACCGTTAACCTTACCTGTACATTGAATTTGAGGGATGCTTGTTAAAATAATAACTTACAAACCATGAAATAAATAATAAAATTGTGAAAAGTCAATAAAAATTCAAAGTTGAAGGTAGACAAATTTCACAATGACGTCTCACATGTTTTTTGAAACAACAGCATGAAACAATATTGAACAAACAAACAAGGACACATAACTACTTTTGTGTGAGAGAAGTACAATGAGATCAAAGTTTCATACATGTACAAACCCCAAAATCCTCATTGTACCTCCAAAAAAACACTGATCAATGATAATCATTAATGGTCCTCTCTGCCCTCTGAGGAGCATGGAAATTATTATTAAGTTCCACAAACAAGAAGGCAGCAAATGAATGGACAGGAAATATTTGTGAAATTAGCTAACGGCGCAGTTTACCCCAAAATTAAATGAGAGTAATAAATAACAACTCAGTTCAGGGGTAAACAGTTCTTGAACTACTGATTATTGGTCATGATAATATCTAAGAAAAATAGTTTGACCGGTTCTCCTTCAAAGAATTCCCTATCTTTTTTGCAAACAAAAAAGTCCCTTCATACCAGAATTTCTGGCCAACCAGAGTGCAGCCTGATAAAATCCAAGAATGATCAGCTAACTAACATTCTACCACTGGAGCATTTTTATAAAGCCCTTTTCATTGTAGGTGTCCGCAGAGGTTTAAACATCTAACAGGCTGGTTTAAATAGTGATTACCAGGGTAAGTTTTGTTGGCAGATTCTTGAACTTCATCACAGTTCATTTCCACATCATGGCTTTTCTGTGTTGAAGAGCTGTTGTTACTTGTGCAGTTATGAACATGACCATTTTGATAAAGCGTGTCCTCTGCTCTGCTTGTCTNCCGCAGAGGTTTAAACATCTAACAGGCTGGTTTAAATAGTGATTACCAGGGTAAGTTTTGTTGGCAGATTCTTGAACTTCATCACAGTTCATTTCCACATCATGGCTTTTCTGTGTTGAAGAGCTGTTGTTTCTTGTGCAGTTATGAACATGACCATTTTGATAAAGCGTGTCCTCTGCTCTGCTTGTCTGTTGACTTGTACCATTTGTAATATAAAAGTCATGGCTTATGGCACTTGAACTATGAATCTCAACATGATCCAAATACTGGACCGTACCTAAAAAATATTTAAAATGTAACTTACTTATAAAATATTATGGTTTGAAAATTAAAGAGTGTTAAGGAATATTAAGAAGGAATGAAAATTGATAAGGGACCAGTTATATAATAATATTGATTTATTGGGGAAGGAGTTAGGCTGATGCAAATTAAGACAAGCCATGTTCAAAATAAATACTCCTGGACCACCTTTGATGACTTTGAAGTGACTTTTCTTAAAGGGGCTATGTCACAGCAGTCTAGTTCATTTTGTTAAATTTTTGCCCATTACTCGCCCTCAATCGCTATGGAACTTAAAGTAAGCAAAGAAATTACATGTAAATGACAAAATCAGGGATCTGAGACAAACAGATATGTCTCCTGAGCATTATTTTTGAAGTTGCAAGCAGCAGGGGTCAATTTTGAAAAACTGTTAGGCTGAATAGTTTTCCAAAACCCTAATTTCAATCCGTTTCAATCTTCTTCAGTTTTGCCAATCCGTGGCATCTGTTGTTTCTGTTATGTTATTTTAACCTTCCTTTAAAGTTTTAAGCGGTTATTTTTGTTTCTCTTAATTTAACGGGCATTTTGTAATTTCTTAATTTGGCTGAATTTCATGACACAGCTCCTTTAACATACAACATGGAGTAACAACAGTTCAAATGGCTTGCTCAAAATGGTCACAACTTTACTGCATGGAAAATCAACTGGAAGAGGTACCAGGTCACTGATTATAAATGAAAGTTATTTTAACCTGAGGCAGAGATGTTTAAAAAAATTATTCTATTCTGGCAGTTTTATAAAAAGAGCATTAATTTTTAACTGTTAACTGTCATTAAGGTGTTTCCAAAATATAGGAAAATCAAATGACCAAAAATTACAAGTCACTTGTAATGGTCATGTTGGTAATTAAAAAATTCAAATTATGCAATATAATACTTCCCTTGCTGAGTTTGAGTTAATAAAAAAGGTCTTTGAAAAGTAGGGCTGTAAAAAAGTTTTTAAGTAGAAGCCTGATAATGAGTAATAGGCGGGTTTGGAACTCGCACCAAAGACACAAATTCTTGAGGGCAGAGGCATCTAGGGACATTTTGAAAATTAGAGTCTCGGAATTGGTGTTTCCAGAGGTTTTCAAGAAATACTTTCCACCGCTGACACCATGTTGACTTGTCAGAATACATGCAAGACTGGGAACAATGCCGTCAAAATGTCCCACGCGTTCCAAGCAATCACACGGTTCGAATGTTTGAGAGATCTAAATCTGTCAGAGTATGCCTTCACTGAATGTCATTCAAAACTGGGAAACGGATGGTTTACAATTTTATTTGATGGTGCTTATTTTTTGTTAGCAGTAATGGTAGAAGGAGATGAAAGTAGCCAGCTAAAGAGGGCTAACTAGCCGGTGGTTTTGCCTGGCTACCGGCCCTTATTGACAGCCCTGGAAAAGAGGTCTAAACTTTTAACTTAAGAAATAAACTTGCCATTTCTTGATCTCTTTGCTTGAACTGTATAGTCCCCATCATCAAGTAATCTTTTACATTTCCTTTGGTTGGACACTAAAGGGACAATTAACATTGATTACACTTAGGAAAGCATATCCTTTGATCTTCCTTCTTCCTCTATAGAGGAAGATTATAATGCTTATGCCTGCATGGTTGTCACAACATGGCAATCTTACTTCTTTTAAATAGAATGAGTCCAGCAAAAAGTGGTACTGTCTTAATAAAACTTTATGAAGCTTTAGATTGTATGGAAAATAGCAGTCTCATAATCCTAAAATAGACACCATCCCAAATTACAACTAGAGAAAAGAAAAGAAAATTTTCTTTCCAACCAGAACCAAATCATACCTTGTTAAACCTAGAGAAATTTTGTTGCCTGGTCTTAACCAATAAATGCAGTAAAGTAACAAAATTTTGTTGCAAGTCATATCACAATGATTCCCTGTTGCTTCATTAGCTCTATTACCTGACTCGTGGCTTTGACTTCTCAACAACTGTGCACATTGCTCAAATCCAAGGGAGGAAGCAAGGTCACAAGGAGTCTGTCGATACAAGTTGAAAGTGCTGAAAACAAAACAAGGACAGGCTCCTCTTGGTGAGAGCTACCTTCAAATGATTCTAGAGCAACAATGTTACAAAAATAAATGACTTTATATATTATATGACATAAGGACATGGCTTTTTTTGTTACCTAAAAGTAGTTACAAATGCCTGGAGTAGTCTCAAGCATTCTACATTTCCTCCTCTTGCTGCCTTGTGCACTGTAGTTTCTCCAAAACTGTCCTGCACGAACAAGAACATTTAACAATTATACAAGTCATGTACTTTCAGACGTGACGTGATAAAAAAGGGTTCAATCATACAAATTCTACTACTGCATAAGAAGAAACAAACTGCAGGACCCAGAACTTAAACATTAAAGCCTGTTAAAACAATTCAGCGGTCTGTGTTTCTCCACTCTGTCTTATGATGTATTCTAAGAGCACATTGAGCCAGTAATATCACTGAATGAACTTTTTCAGTTATTGTGCAAAATACCCTTGAATATATACAAGGCATTGGACTTGTTAATTTTAGCTTTAATTCAGACAGGAGTCTTATTAGGTAGAGGGGGAGTTTATTAGTGATTGGCAATAAATAAAGGAAATAAAGTAAGCAGTTACTGAACACATAATAATATGGCTGGTACCACACAATGGTTATATATTTGTCATGTGAAGCACTACTCACAACTTTTTCTGCAACTGCACCATTTTGAAGTAACCAGTGAAGGACATTAGCATGACCAGCAAAAGCTGCAAGATGTGCTGGTGTCTGTTCAAATCTTCCTTCACATACATCAATGTTTGAACCACACTCAACAAGGCGCTTCAAACAATCAACCTAAAAAATTAAAAAATTGAAGGAAGAGGTTAGTTTTGGGTGAAACTGCAGTTTTATTAAATGAGTTATGCACCAACATAATGTCAAAAAGCCACTGTTTCAAGAGCAAGCCCTTTGATTTACCCTTATGAATGACTAGCTCTCAAAATGTCCTCTATTCGATCTTTTTGCAGAGGAGACTTGACATCACCAACTTGCAGGCTGATTAATAACAATTTTTTTTGTATGTGACCTAAATATTCTTATGTACATGAGAAAAGTGGTTTCCTTAACCCATTTGCTCCTAGAAAGTTTGACAAAAAACCCATTTTGAAGCTTGTCGAGCAGTTTTCTGGTCACTGTCATGCTACAAAGAGCTAAAACTTACCACAAAGCCATTTACAGGTCATACACTTCATGGCCTTCTGATCCAGATGCAAAATATTAGTTCGGGCATGTGCAGAAAGCAAAATTTTGAGATAGTTTTTGAGTTTAAAAGTGACACAGCAGTCTTGAGTTTTACTTTTTGCTTTCTCTCCTCCCTTGTTTTTTTCTTTCTCTGAGCATTTAGTAGGCTTCATTTTGATGGGAAAAGTTTTTAGAAATGCTTTTATGATCTTAAGATGAGATTAAGGGAAAGGTAGGTGGGTATAGTAGTGGACCAAGATTTTCATGGAAATTTTTAGGGCAATATTACATGGTTTTTTGCCTTTTTCTCCAGTGTCCTTTACTGAATTGTGATCATTCTAGTATGGTTTGAAAGATCTCTTCACTCTGCACAAGTTAGCGGACAAAGTTGTCCTTGACCATTAACACTGATGATGTCACAAGCTGTAAAAGAGATGTGGATCTGCACAGACGGTGACAGGCGGCTCAGGTTAAGAGAAAAAACAGTACTTAATTGCATAGAAGGGTTCACCATTACAGCCACCAATATAACCTCAATTAAGGAAACCAAAGACAATGACTCAGTAAAAATGGGTGAACAACATGGTAGCAGCCACATGGGATGTAAAGACTTAAGTCTATTAGCTGCCCTGCTTTTGAGCAAGTTTGGTTGCCAAGTATAATCAAAGCACAAACAAACTGTGATTCACTAAAACAAATCATAGTTTGAGGTACCAAGAAAATATTCAAGACTTCCGCACAGCACCATACATATATTTGAATAACTAAGGACCGTTTCGCCCTGTTTACAATAACAAACTATTTGTGTGGAAAGTGTTGGAGAAAGTTGCATGCATAACAAAAAGTGCAAGGGACTGTGCGGAAATCCCACTATACCCAAGTCTAGCGTCGGGTCTAAAACGTTAGCCGTAACCAAAACACATCATCAAAACAAACTGATTAACTGTTTGGCAATGGAAAAATTTCTCAACAACGTGGACTAGATTTCAAGTGGTCTTTCTTTCATGAGTTATTATGTATCAGATTCAGAATTTGAAAATGTAGTTTTCAATAATTTCACCTAATAACTTTTGTGTAAGAACATCGATCTCGAAATAAAATTGTGGTTCCGAGACAAATGATCACGACAACAACGGGGTCAAGTCACGAAAAACAATTCTTCAAGCTTCCCTCGCTAACGTACACATATAAATTCCACGTATCTTGGTTTCTCCGTTCTTTTTCATGACAGAAGGAGTTCTTTACTTCTGGAAGTTGAAAAAGTTTGATACTAAGTTTTAGTTTTCTCTTGTTCGTGATCAGCTGTTAAGCATCAAAGAATTTGGCAGTCACGAGAGGAATCTTTGGACTGTCTGTTGCAAAAAAAATCTGTAAGACCCTATAAAAACAAAGTCGAGTATGAAGTACATGCCAAATACTGCTATAATAACTGCAAGAGCTCTGTAAAGAAAATGAAAGAAGGACTGTTTAAAAGTCTTATCGCTAGCTTACAGCTGACCTACAAGCTGTTTGTTTTCCTGTTTTAGAAATTGTATTTTCTTCACAAACTAAACCGACAACTAAACTAACCTTTCCAAAGAAGGCAGCCCAGTGTGCAGGGGTCCACTTTAAGTAATGGTCTTGCTCATTTAGGGAGCGAAAAACTGCAAGTCTGTCTCCTTGAACGGTTAAGTAAGTTAGACTAAGCATGTCTCCGTCCCTACAAGCTCTGTGAACAGGAGGAAGAGGATGCTCAGACCAGGCACAACGTAAAATACACTCATTAAGCTGCTGCTTCGTTTGAAAACCACACTCAGATCCCATGGTTAATCCAAAATGGGTCCGAAAAAAGAATAGATAATACTTCAAGAGTCAAAGATGAAACCAAAATAAAACATCCCCAGTAATTTTACACTACAAACAATAAAAATCCCGCCGAAAAGAGTCACCCACAGACCATGCGGTAGCTTGTCACTCAATCTTTTTTCTATTGACCAATCAGAAAGCGAGAATTTTTCAGCCGCTCGAAAACGAACCAATCAGAGAAACGGAATGAAAGAAAGCCATTTGAAATTTGCAATTCTCGTCATCCGGGATTTTGTGGTTATTATCAGTACTTCCTGTCATAAATTTTGTATATCCGTTCTGCTTGAAGAGGGAGATTTCAAACTATCTTGCGGTTCAATTGAAAGCTTAAAAGCTCAGTTTTTTTGACAAAAGGAGCCATGAGCAGCACTGACAACCAAGTCGGTGTTACAGATTCAACTCACATATCAACAAAGTAAGTTGTCTTTTACTTACTTTTCACGCGTTTTCCCGAGCAGACAAAATTTTTAACAGTTCTTTGTCGACGGTTGTTTTGACATTTTGCGTTCGCTTACTTTCTTCTGCGTGTTAACACAGTAGAAATCAAACCCTATTTCATTCGATAAACATCATTATTCTTTAGTTCAAATGAACCGTGTTTATTTAAACCGATCATATGTTCCGCTTCCCTAGTTTTCCTTAGCTTCTCGCTCGAGTTAGTGTCATGAATAAAGTTTCCCGTGTAAAATTTATTCAATTTTCGCTTTGTTGTACATGTGTCGTCTTGAACTGCCATTAATGTAGCCGTTTGTAAGCCTTTTGAAATCTGAAGGCATTTGAACAAATTTTCCTCTGAGTATTTCAAACGTATTTACAATGACGGTTATTTATTTACGCGAATCAATCTTGCCGCGTTTTTCGTCTACACGCTGGTTTCATCATGACACAAATTCAATGGATGGCTTTGTGTTACGGGCACAAATATAATATTTCGCATTGCCAGACGTAAACATTACGCTTCATTCCACAATTTCAAAGCGCTTTGGAACTTTTATCTTTGCAAGCTTATTTGAGAGTTTTTCGTCGTTGCAATACTGTGCTCTGTTACATCGAAGAATAATACAGCTTGAATTGTTAATTAGGGCCGTTCCAAGATGTCATACATAATTTACGGCTCGAAGCCAAATTTCCCTTAGTTTTATGCGTCATTTGCTTCATTTTGCGAAGAATCGAGATAGTTCTCCATAATCTGTTCATCGTGTATATGAGTGTTTTTTATTATTATTATTTTCTGATCACTAGCAAATATTAACATCTTAAATAAGCAGAATCAATATATAATCGCCGAAGTACAATGTAGTTTAAAAAGAACGTCAAGGAACAATATATTCTTTAACAGGCTTCCTTTAGCTTTCATTTATGTCGTAATGTTTTGTCAATCACTACCTGGTTTGAGTCTAAGATATGATTTAAGTTAAACTGCTTTTGATTCACAACTTAAAATGTACACGACATACACTTTCTTGATTTTGCAGTGATAATTAATGAAATTTCATTGCGAGCATTTTGAAGTATTTGTTTGTTCCAATCTTTTTTACAAATAAGTGTTAAAAGGCATGCTTCTTGACGCCTGCTTTCTTTGCCAACACACTGGTGAAGTAGAATGCATGAGAGTGTGAAGTGTTTGTTATGAATGTGATGCGTTGAAAGTGCTCCTGTTATTACTTCTGATAAAATCTCTTTTATACAATTAAATGTTAAATTTTTGATATAATATATTAGATTTGTTATACTACTACATGAGAAATTTCTGAAATTTGATTGGCTTAGAGGAGTGGTATTTCAAAAATTACAAATTACAAAACCTTTTGCAGGTAGTAGTATAGTATAAACAAATAATAGCATGATTTGTGCGTGATATTTGGCATAAATACCACTCATGATATTTTAAAATTGTCTCAAATTTCACTCACCTAACGGTTCGTGAAATTATTTATAACAGTTTTGATTAAATATGCCACCTATACCAATGGTTATATCATGATACGGCATTAATGTTTTGCTAGTGTAGCTAGTGAGGTTTGAGTGCGAGGCTAGCTTTTGTGTAATTAACATTCCCTAGTGTCTTAAAATTGCATTTGTTTCGACCTCAGCAATATACTATTACCTATACCAATGGTTATATCATGGTACGGAATTAATGTTTTGCTAGTGGAGCTAGTGAGGTTTAGTGCAAGGCTAGCTTTTGAGTAATTAAAATTCCTTAGTGTCTTAAAATTGCATTTGTTTTGACCTCTGCAACAGACAAAACAATTTATATTGCTTCTCTGGCAGTGTTTGTGACAGGAAGGCTTAAATATTACAAATAATGTGAGCTGTAACTAAAGAGGAAATGTCTTCTTAAAATATGTTACATTAGCAATATCAAAGCTGACATTGTGGATGAGAGATATGTATGTGATCTACATGTATGTATCTATTTTCTGAACTACAATGCAGTTAGAGGAATTTTTCTAGAGTGCTCAACTTTTCAGAAGCAATAATGTAATAGTTCCAGGCTTCAGAGGCTATACATGGCTTTATTGCTACAGCTGAGCTCTGTTTTGTATGGCATAAAGGGAACCACACTCATCAGGCAATTTTAGCGAGATACATGAGATCTACATGTATATTCAAGTATTCAAGTCCCCGTGGATTAAATTTTTACAATGACTTTTTCACATTGTTTTGTGATCTTTACATTGTCCAGCTGAAAGTAAGCTACCTTGCTCACTTTCTTCTAGCATTTAATTGCAACTATGTCTCGGGTTAATTTTAGTCTTTGTTCTAATTTTATTTTTATTCAATTGGTTATGGCAGTTACTGTTTATGATAATGAGAAGCTACAAATAAAACCAAGGACATGATTAAACAAGTGCAAGTACAAATAATATTGTTGGCCATTTCCATTTTTGTTTGTGAACCTCTGCCATATCCTGAGAAAACAGCTGACATTTTATGACCCTACCACTGGTTTCCCTGCAAAATGAAGTCTCAGGAACCAGTGCAGAAATTCCATATTGATGACATGTCACTACACAGATCTGGGTAGTGCTTCTAAATGGTTTAAGGAAAATATCAACCAATCAGAAGCACTACCCACATCACAGTAGTGACACATCATCAGTATGGAATTTCAGCGGTCAGATGTCATTTTGTGGGGAAACCAAGGGTGGTGTTGCAAAATGGCAGCTGTTTTCTTAGGCTACCTCTGCCAAAGCTTTTAAAGTTCCAGATTGCAATTCCTTAAGGTCTTTACATGATACATGTTTCAGATACAGGCACATGAAATTGCGCCTAATTAAGGTGCCACTGCGACCAAATTTTTCACTTTGGTGAATAAATCCTTAAAATAAGTTGCCAACTTGGCTAGTAAAATACTTCACTACACTTTGCCTAAGGGTCCTGTGAATTGCCAAAGACATGTAAGAGTAATCTTTGGCAGTGATCACAGGGCTTAAAAACTTTGCCGTACAGTTTGTTTTCAAGAAAAGATACAGCACGTTCCTGATCTACTAGACGCAATTTGAATTAAAGTAGCATGTAACGTTATGTATGACCCTTTCTAAAGTCACGAAACGCCATCTTGGATTAAAATAGCCCTTTACGAAGGCCTTTGTCCCAATTCAAAAGTCAGTGGTGATTTGTCAGTTTAAGCTGTAAGCGGCTAATTTCTTCCTATTGCACGATAAAGAACAGACATCACAGTTAATTAATAACAAATAAGCCTTAAAAGAATGACATTAATTGCAAGAACACATTTTTCTCATTTTCAGCGAAAATAATCGACATTCACCTGTTAAATAAAACTTGTACGATGAGTAGGTATTGCGTTCAGTAAACTGGGGCTGGGGCACGATAAGAAGACTGTTGCATATAAAAGCAATTTATCTTCACTTTGAAAGAAGGTCTTCATGATCACAACTTAAATTGCTAAAGTTTAATCAAATCTATTCAATTCTTTGATTAAAAATGCAAAACATTTCATAAACTCAATAAATACATGTATAGGGTCTATCTTGTAAATGGACAGAGTTATAAAAATATGGCTTTCAAACAGTGGCAACCAACTTATTGTAATTGGCAACTACTCTAAATTATTTCGACATCCAGTTACTGGAGAAAAAAGTTAATTTCATGCACTGTATACATGAGTGTTTGCTTAGTATTTATCTTTTATTTAATGGTGTTATTTGCTTTAATTTGTTGATGTAAGAAAGCACTTGATTTAGTAAGCCTTCTAAGCATCAGATTCAAGAAAAAACTTTTGATCCCTCATATTACTTTTCAAAGATGCAGGGTTTTCATTAAGACCCAGCACCTACTAGAGCTTTGATGGGTATGCAGTTGTGAATCACAGCATGCAATTTTGCCTTATTATCAGTTAAAGGCTTAGTGAATTAAGCATGTTATTGTTTTATACCCTGTTTGAGTTTCTGCATTCTTAACTTGCTTTTGTGATTCAGCAAAATGTGCATTCAGGCTTCCTTAAATTGGAAATCGAAGGGACAAAACCTAGTGTCAGTTGTACAGTGGTGTCTTTATGAAAGAGGTAGAAACTGTATGAAATTTGGTGTCCATAAGGAGCGGTTCGACTACAGTAAAATCTGTCTTCATCTCCTTTAGTCACTATAGTTCAGAGTCATGGGAAAATGCAATTAACTACTGCAAATTGAAAAATTATTTTTCAGAGTGCTAGCACCACCTGGTGGAAAAACATCAATAAGTTTGTTTGGAAATGATGGAGGCACTCCCTCAGAGCCTGTAAGGAAAGAAGTTAACCGCTGTCAAGCTGAGCGCAATAAATCAAATGTTTTTGCCTCTGATACACCTGCTTCTGGCGTGACTCCAAAACACCACGCAGAAAGCCAACAAAGACGGCAACACTCCTCTGTATTTGGTGATTCACAGCCTGCCCCAAAACCATCCTTCGAACCAGAGCCGCGGAAACCTCACACAGTTAATCCACATCAGGAGGCACGACAAAAATCA